GTTGGATCGCGTCAGCACATCAGGAAAGTTTTAGTGCAGGTTCTTCGGCAGACTAGTGACCTACTGGGCAGCGAGGGGCTTCAGGTGGCCAGCAAGAGCGTGGTCATCTGCTCCAAGCATAAGGATGCGCAGCACATTGTGGCCCGTCTTAGACGCCACGGCATTCTAGTCACGGCGGCGTTGCAGGCGAGCTTCCTCGGAGTCGACTCAGGAGCGGGACGGCACGCTCGGGCTACTCAGAGGAAGAGAGTGAGCAAGGCGACCACCATGCACGGTCGGATTGCTCGTTTCGCCAGGGCCAGTCGACGCTACAAGCCGACGATGAGACTAGAGGCGGCTGCGGCACAACCAGCAGGTCACTATGGCCACCAAGTTTACGGAGTCCACGGCTCGGCCATGCTGAACATGAGGAGGCGCCTGGGCCACGTCGCTAGCTCTGCTCGCAGGGGGAGGTGCCTGACGACGGTGCTGGACCTCAGGTATGGCGATCAGGACCCAGGTTACCGTCTCCCATGCGCCTGTCTGAAGATGTGGTTGCAGACCTGGTTCAGTGAGACACGTCTTCGAGCGGGTATTCAACTGGCGTGGCATGCCGTGGCCAAGCAGTTTCGAGAAATGGCCCCATCTTTGCGCAGCAGGAACGTTCGTGGCCCGATGTCAGCTGTCATCACGTACCTCTTGCAGTACGATTGGGACCCCGTGACGGCCACCGAGTGGGGTACGAAACCGAGGGGAGTTGAGGGTCGCGAAGCTTTCATTTTCGACGGAGACCTCGGGGCCGACACGGATTTCAGCGATCTCATCAACGAGTTCGAGCTCACCATCAAGAATAGGCAGTGGGAAGTAGCAGCGACTCACTTCTGTGGCGGTGGCCTCGAGTGTGGGGCTGACAACAGGTCCTATCGTAGATATATCCAGTCTTTAGAGCGCGCCCACAAGGGGCACCAACTCGCGGAGCTTATGCTCTGCATCGCAGCGGGCGGCTCGTGGCCATTACAGAGAGTTGCTGACGAGGTTGGAGGTATCCCGTGCACACTCTGCCCTAGATGTAAGCTTGCCCCCGAAACCTCTTTTCACAGATGCTGGGCCTGCCCAAAGAATGTTGGCCTGGCTTTCGAAGCTTCGGAGTCGTTGGTTGCGCAAGCGTATAGTCAACATGAGTCCGAGCCCTGTTTTTGGCTCAGGGGCGTCTTGCCCTCGGAGTGGACATCAGTTCCTGCTCCCGCCAGCGAACCCTCATGGCTTGTCAGCGGGGTGGAGGGGCCCTTACAAGCTGGGTCGCTGGGAGTCGGTTCACTTTCCAAACCGTTGCTGCTTTTTGGCGACGCCAGCGGGGGGCCCGAGTCCAGAGACGAGGGCCTCCGCAGGGTCGGCATCGGACTTGTGGCCATCTCCTCCTTTCACCCCTGTGTGATAGACGCCTCCCTTCGGGGGCCCCTCCCAGGTCGTCGCCAGACAGTTCCAAGAGGGGAGCTGTTAGGATTGATTGCCGCAGTTGAATTTAGTGCTGGAGCTATGATTTACATTACAGATAATGAAGCAGTGATGATAGGATGGCACCAGCAGCGCTTTGATCGCCCTCAGGGCGAGAACTCTGATTTGTGGTCTAGGCTCGGGAAGTTGCGCACCAGTCGGAACTTTGATCAGATCACGGTTTTGCAGGTTTCATCCCACCAGTCGGCCAGCGAGCTGGCACAGTCGTCCCTTCTTTGGATGGCGATCGGGAATGAAGCTGCCGACGAGGTGGCGGGTTTGGCCGCGCAGGAGGCTCGTGTTCCCGCTGACTTCAGACACAAGGTCGCCCGCTCCGAAGAGATGGCCAGACTCGTTCGCCGCCGTCTTTTGCGGGCCAATCTTGAGGCGATCGTCGAGGAAAAACGTTCTGGCCCGCGCGTGATGGAAAAGAAGTCCCGCTGCCCTCCCCCTTCTGCCTCTGCTCTTGCCTTCTTCGCTGCCTCCCACTCGCTGTCCGAGGATGGAAAAAGCTGCCTGAGATGTCGTGGGAGCGCGTCTCAGGCGTCCTTGACAGAGTGGAGGCTGAGCCAGTGCTTTGAGCTAATTAAGCAGGATCAGTGTTTCTCTCGAGCGCCGAAGGGTCAGTGTGTGCATATAGGTGGACGTTGGACTCATCCAAGTCACAACCTATTGTATAGCCATAAGTTGAATCTTTGGTTTTGTAGTTCGTGTGGTTTCTACGGGAGCCAACAGATGCGGGGTTTAATATCCGAGTGTCTGTGTGCCCCTACGCTTCCCCCCGAGACGCGTGGTAAGCTCACGCCGACCAGGAGAAGTTATATTGACAGAATTCACAAAGGCTTATGGCCTAAGTACTAAGCCTAATTCAACCTGAGCAGACGGCTCGGGTGGTGGTTGGGTTATGTTACTTCGCTTCGCGATCGGTCCTATCCTATCCTATCCTCCTCCCTGTTCCTATTCATCCTCCTCCTCCTCCTCTTCCTCTCCTCCTCCTCATCATCATCCTCATCCTCCTCTTTCTCCTCCTCCTCCTCCTCCTCATCCTCTTCCTCCTCCTCCTCCGCCTCCTCCTCCGCCTCCGCCACCGCCTCCGCCTCCTCCTCCTCCTCCTCCTCATCCTCCTCCTCCTCCTCCTCCTCCTCCTCCTCCTCCTCTTCCTACTCCTCCTCCCCTGCCTCCTCCTCCCATGCCTCCTCTTCATCCTCCTCGTCCTCCGCCTCCGCCTCCTCCTCCTCCTCATCCTCGTCCTCATCCTCATCCTCCTCCTCATCCTCCTCCTCCTCCTCATCATCACCATCCTCCTCATCGTCCTCCTCGTCCTCCTCATCATCCGCGTCATCCGCCTCCGCCTCCTCTCGTTCCTCATCCTCCTCGTCATCATCGCTTTTCCGCGTCATTAGTATCAAAAATAGTACGACTCAAAGTAATAATATCAGTAGTACTGCTATTACGATTAAAACTATTGTGGTTAGTATTGGTACTAGTAATGCAAGTATCATGAGGACGTACTGGCATTAATGTTGGTATTCGTATTCCTAGTATTAGTAGTACTACCATGTTTAGTAGTATTAGTAGCAGTAGCAGTAGCAGTAGTAGTAGTAGTAGTAGCAGTAGTAGTAGTAGCAGTAGTAGTAGTAGTAGTAGTAGTAGTAGTAGTAGTAGTAGTAATGTGCTTGTTCGTCTTATTATTAGTATTCCGAGCATTCATTTTCTTATTCGTCCGAATATTACTAGCATTAGTGTTAGTGTTCGCAGTATTGTGCTTAGTAGTCTTGTTCGTGCTCGCATTGTTCGTATTATTAGTCGTATTATTAGTATTCTGCGTAGTCTTAGTAAAAGTACTATTCGTATTACTAGTATTATTCGTATTAGTTTTATTCCCAGTAGTCGTAGCATTCGTAGTGTTATTCGTGAGATTCTTCTCATGCGTAGTTTCGTCGCACTCGTCTTACTATGATCAGTATTATGATGGCTGGTATTAGTAGCATTCGTCTTCGTATTCGTCTTATGACTCTTAGATTCGTCTTAAAATTCGTCTGCTTAGTGCTATGATTCTCAATACGCTTCTAAGCAGGTGTCTTATTAATATTCTTAATCGTATGATTAGTACTAGTATTTTTTGGTATGATTCGTGGCGGCATTAGTATTCTTAGGATTCCATTCCTTATTCTTCCGAATATTAAACTTAATAGCATTAAATGGGTTCGTCTGCTTATCCTGTTTCTTCTTCTTCTTCCTCCTCCTCGTCCTCCTCCTCCTCCTCCTCCTCCTCCTCCTCCCCACCTCCTCCTCCTCCTCTTCCTCCTCCTCTTCCTCCGCCTTTTCCTCCTCCTCCGCCTCCTCCTCCTCCGCCTCCTCCTCCTCTTCCTCCTCCTCCTCCTCTTCCTGCGCCTCCTCCCCTTCCTCTTCCTCCTCCTCCTCCTCCTCCTCCTCCTCCTCCTCCTCCTCTACCTCCTCCTCCTCCTCCTCCTCCTCCATCCGTTGCCTCTTCGAGTATGACGGTTCCCCCAACCCTCTCTTACACTGCCTGCGCCTCCACATTTTTTATCAGGGCAGCTCGCCTGGGCATCGTTTCTAGATCGGCTGGTGGGTTTACGCGAAACGTCCAGATCATGGGCCAAGGAGACCGAGGGGGCTGGAACTGGGGCCAGGAGAAAGCCAGGGATGGTGGGGCCAGGGTCAGGGGTAAGCCAGAGGAGGGAGACCAACGACGACCGACACCAGGGGGCTGGAACCAGGACCCACGAGGAGGGGAGACCGAGAGGGCGGGAACCAGGACCAACGACGACCGGCAGAAGAAGGAAAAGATCCGAGTTCCAGATTTTAGACTAATCAAGCCATCGGGGTGCAGGAGAATTGTCCGACAGGGGTCCTGGGCTGGCACCACGGACCCAGAAGGTGATGGATGAGAAAAGCGCACTCAACGCGCATTTCCCCCACGTTGCCCTCGGGACGCTTGAATCGGGCGTCTGGTGACGAGGGGGGGAACAAACGGGGGGGGGGGGGGGCAAGACCGTGCGATTTTCTGACGCCTTCTGGGCCCGCGGTGGCAATGAAGGGGGCCGTCTCGGGCCCCTTTCAGGGCCACTTCACTACACTCCTCGATCGGAATCGTTTATCCCCCACCCACTACAGCTGACTACCTACCAGACCACCCCAACCCAACCCGAAGACCCGAATTTGACCCGAATTTCGGGTTGGGGGGGGGTACGGATACCATGTGTTTTTTCAACGTTCCCCGACCCCCCCCCACTGGAAATCGAGGGTAAATCTGAGCCTTCGGGTTGGGTTGGGGTGGTTTGGTGGGTGGTGAACAGCAGGGGCCCGACCACAACAGACCGTCCGCAAGAAACCCAACCCTTAGACCCCGGGGGGTCCGTTGATTTTCGGCGTGGGCACGCCGCGCTCTCCACCGCAAGACCATCGAAACCCGAACAACCCAGGGCACCCTGGCGGCAAGCAAGGCGTTTCTGGGCATGGGCCCCGCCCGCCGCCGCGCACGCAGGATGTCCGCGCGCCCCCGCCCGTCCGGCTTCTCCCGCGCGCCCGTCAGCTCCCCGCGCCGCAGCACCCGGAGCAGGCGCAGCACCTGGGCTTTCGGGCAGCGGCTGGGCCGCAGGGAAGCATCCGGCAGGTTCGGCCAGCGCCGAAGAGAAGGGAGAAGGGAGGGAAGACGGATGGACAACGGGGGGAAAGAGGGAAAGGGAGAAGGGAGGGGACAGGATGGAGAGGGGAGGGTGTTGGGAGGGGAAAGGAAGGAACATGGAGGGCGGGGAGGGCACGAAGCAGGGAGCAGGGGGAAGAAGGGGGCGGCGAGGCAGGCGGAGGCATAAGGGACTGGGGAGGAGAGGAGGGGGGAGCGAGGCGAGAAAATAATGAGGAGGGAGGACGGCGAAAGAAGGACGGGACGGAGGGGCCGAGGGCAGGGGGGAGGGAGGTTGGAGAGGATAGGGCAGAAGGGGGGATGGGCGCGGGAAGAGGGACGGAGAAGGATGCAGGAGGAGAGGAGAGGGGAGGAGAAGGAGGAGGAGGAGGAGGAGCGAAAAGGAAAGAAGAGAGGAGGAGGGAAGGGGGACGGGAGGAGAAGAAGGCGGGAGGAGGAAGAACGGAGAGAGGAGGGAGGAAGCATTAGAACTGGATGATGAAAATAGAGGGAGGCAGGAGAAACAAAGAGGAGGGAGGAGGGAAGAAAGAGTGGTTGGCGGGGGGGACGGGGAAATACTCTGTTTTTCCTCTGCGAACCGTTCTTGCAGGACCAAGCGGGCAACACTTAGCCCACCGCGCAGGGCGCCCCGCCGGATCGCGGGGCACTCACAATGCGAGACGGGCCTTCTGAGTGGGCAGCATGGGCATGGCAAGCCAGCTCCCCTGCCCCCTTTTGTCAGGCCGGAAACAGCCGCAGCGTGGACACGGGCAAACCTGACAGAACGGGCAAGGGCCATACCACCGCCAAACCCACGCTTCCCCCCAAGGGCCCACCACGACACGACGACGAACGACAGCGACGTCGACGGCGGAAGGGGGGGAGAAGACGAGCCACTTGGCCGCGACTCCCACGGGGGGGGCACCTGGCTGGGGGGCCAGGCTCCCGTAGGAGGCCCTTGGGAAGGGCGCCTCGCTTTGGGAGCCGTCCCAGCGCGGGGGCTTTTACCCCGAAGACCCCTATCAAGGGGCGCTTTAGCCCGACACCTCACTTATGGGGGTGCCCCTCCAGGGCGGGGAAATACGCGGATCCAATCGGTGAGGGGAAGAGCCAGGATTGAGAATGAGAGAAATGAGGAAGAGCGAAGATGGATGGGTAGCCACGGAGTGTGCAGCCTTGCTTTCTGGAGCCGCGCATGACCACGTATTGTCTTCCCCTCATCAATGGAGTTCTCCCACGCGGAGCCCCGCTGATTATTTGATCTGCACACGGTGGATGACACTGTCCTACAGGCCCTGTGGGCGTCTGTGGTTCAGGGGCCAGCTCTTTCAAACACCTCTCCTTCCCTTTCGGGAGAGGGGGTCGTCACTGGTCTTCATTGACACAAGCCCCCTCGCCCACTCGACCAGCCGCCAAGCTGGAACGATGTGCGGACCCACCCACCCCCCTAACAAAAAATCTCGACGCCTGCCAGCGTGGCCCCCATACACTGCCTCCTTGCACGTTCGAACTGTAAGCCACGTGGTGTCGAGACCACGAGGCAGCAACGGACGACCACGGGCGACAACGAGGCGAATCCTCGTCGTGAACCCGCGGGCGGCCACGAGCGGCCAAGTGGCGAACCCTCGGCACAGGCCACATCGGGCAGCAGCAGGCGGCAACGTGGCGAGTCGTCCACATACCCCCACAGGCGACAACGTGGCGGCAACGGGCGGCAACGTGCCGAATCCACGGCATACCCCCACAGCCGGCACCGGGCGGCAGTGGACGGCAAAGTGGCGATTCTTCGGCATACCCTCGCGGGCGGCAACGTGCGACAACGGGCGATAACGTGGCGCATCCTCGGCATACCTACCCACACAAGCGCCAACGGGCTGCAACGAGCAGCAACGACGTGTCGAATCCTCGGCATATCACAGGCGGCAACGGGCGGCAACGTGGCAAATCCTCGGCATATCCACACAGCGCACAAGGCAACAACGTGGCGGCACCGAGTAGAATCCTCGACATACCCACACATCTGGCAACGGGCAGCAAGGACGACAACATGGCGAATCCACGGCATACCCCCACAGGCGACAACGGGCGGCAACAGGCGGCAGCGTGGCGAATCCTCGGAGTAACCACACAGACGGCAACGAGCGGTAACGGGCAGCAACGTGTCGAATCCTCGGCATACCCCCACGGCCGGCAACCTGCGGCAAGGGGCGGCAACGAGCCGAACCCTCGACATACCCACGCAGCGCACGAGGCAACACCGACGTGGCAGCGTGCGGCAACGGGCGGCAACGTGGCGAATCCTCGGCATACCCCCACAGCCGGCAACGGGCGGCAACGGGCGGCAACGTGCCGAATCCTCGAAATTCCTGACAGCCAGCACTGGGCGGCAACGCGGCAAATCCTCGGCATGCCCCAACAGGCGGCAACGGGCGGCAGCGGGCGGCAACGTGGCGAGTCCTCGGCATGACCAACAGGGACAGCAACGGGCGGCAATGCGCGGCAGCGGGCGGCAACGTGGCGAATCCTGGGCATGACCCACCTAAGTTCTCAGAAGCACAAGTACGAACCCTCCTCCTCCTCCTCCTCCTCCTCCTCCTCCTCCTCCTCCTCCTCCTCCTCCTCCTCCCTCCTCCTCTTCCTCCTCCTCCTCCTCCTTCTCAGTTCTCAAATGCAAGCACTGTGCGTCTGGAGGAAAAAAACACGGTGCGGCAAAATCTGCACCACGAGCGGGCGCCCCGCAACCGTTTGGCACTGAACTTCACCGCGACTGCGGGAGGGGGTCGTACCATCCGCCGTGGGCGACCCGCCATGCCTGCCAAAGACCAACGCAGTGGAATCGCAGGTGCGCACGCCGTACATCGTGCTGTCCACCCTCGTCCAGCCAGCCTCCCACTCCTCCTCTGCCCTCCCCCTCCCCCTCCTTGCTGCCCCCTTCCTGCTCCCCGTCGTCCCCTCCCCCGGCCGAAGCAGCACGCCCCACTGGCTCCCTCCCCGCCTTCCCTCGTCTCCCCCGCCCGCCCCACCCCCCTGGGCTGGCTGTGTAGCCCTCGCGCCCCGCAGCCCGAGCAGCGCGACGCGCGACCACCTCCTCCCGCCCCCGAGGCCGCAGAGTGGGGAAGGAGGCAAGGGAGAGGAAGGGGAGGGGAGGGGATGGAGTACAGTGGAGACCCCACCACAAGAGACCCTCCACAGGAAACCCAAACCCTGAGACCCCAGGGCGTCCATTGATTTTTGACGCGGGCACGTCACGCTCTCCCTAGCCGAACCATCGAAGCCCAAGAAACCCAGGGCACCCTGGAGGCAAGCAAGGTTTCTTGGCATGGCTCCACTGCACATTCACCGTGATGCCATAAAGAACGCCAGATGAGGAACGAATTGACTCTTCTGGCCATTGCGAGATCAGCCGCGAACAGCCTCCCCCGACGAGGAGCGTCGCAAAAATCTACACGGGGGGGATCCCCCTGGAAACCCCCAAGAACCTCCTTGGAACCGCTGAAGCACATGTGCGGCAAGCTCTTGCCGTGACGAAGTCGGCGTTGGGACGTCGGCGTTTTTTTCTGACGCCGTCTGGGTCGTTCAACCCTGAGCGATCGCGGCTCTCCGCTAGTGCCCATCGCTGGATGCCGCCCGATTCCGGGTCACTGGCGGAGCTCAACCTTCCGAAAGTCCATCCACGCTGGAGTCGCCGCCGCATCGGCACAACTCTCCCCCTCCCTCCTGCCGACCCCCCTCCCTCCCTCCTCTCCTCTGTCACCGCAGTTAGCGATATGCTCGAGGACGAAGGCCTGAAGCTTGCCCCGAAGAGTGCTATCACATGCTCATCGATGTAGGGTGCGAAGGCCATAGTGCGAGAGTTGAAGCGTCGAGGAGTGACAGTTCAATGCACTCCGCGGCTGACATATCTTGGTGTCGACATGAGTTGTGGGAAACGGCTCGTCAGGGCTACTCGGAACCAGCGCATGGTCACCACCAAGAAGCAGCATGGGCGCCTTCGTAAGTATGCGAGCGCTTCGAGACGATTCCGAGTGTTGAAAAAGATCGAGCTTGCAGGGCCCCAAGCAGGGGCTCGCTACGGGCATCAAGTTCTTGGGCTTCCTGGTACGGTCTTGCTTGATCTTCGGCGTAGGCTGGGAGCTGTGTCTGGACACCGTCGTGGAAGATGCTTAACCACCTTGCTGGATCTCAGGGCGCCAGGGGCTGACCCAGGGTACGCCCTCCCTCAGCAGTGCTTGGAGCAATGGGTGCGGTGCTGGCTGGAGTTCCCCAGGATCCGAGCTCCCATAGCTCGGGTATGGCGCGACGCAGTTCAGCAGTTCAGGGACCTGGAGCCCCAGCATCGGTGGCGACATGTACGGGGACCTCGTACAGCGGTGATCGCCTACCTGACGAATGCGGGGGTGGGACCTACCGCAAGAGGCGTTGTGGTTTCCGCCGAGCCGAGGGGGGGAAGATGAAGATGGATGGAGTTTCGCATCGGCTAAGTTTCAGGCTTTCGATCAAGCAAGAGACCTCATTGACAGGTTTGCTCAATCGTTGCAGGATCGTTTGTGGAGAAACGCTGCAGCTAAATCACATTGTGGGAGTGGCATGGAGAATGGCGTCGACAATTTCAGTCTTCGTCGGTACCTTCTGCAATTGGAGCGTCTCCCAGGGCACGGACGACAGCTCAGCGAATTGATGATGACGATTGCCGTTGGCGGAACCTGGACTGATGATAGA